TATTTCTCTCTGCTTACTCAGTAATCGCGTGCCGTAAAAATAGACAGATGATGAAAAAATCTTTTATATGTTTGAAACTGCTAAACATAGACCTCTTTGTCTGGCAGATCACGTTTCTGTGCCTCTGGTGACTATCTGCGATTCCTCTCAATAAATATTTAATCTTCCTCGATACCCAGACTAACCGGCTTGATGTTTCTGCAATGCAGTATTTGTATAAACATTTGCTCCCTAGTAATATTCTGTTTTAGAAATTTTATAAGTGAACTGCCTCTTTATTCTGCCTTTCGTTATCAGATCGCGCGCATTAACTTGAAACAAGGGTCTTTTATTTTTCTTTTGTGCTGATATTATACGGAATGGGCACAAAAAACACTATTTTATCTACCCACTACGAGGACGTAAACAGTAATAATAACATACCTTCGCATTTTATCCATATATCGTTGGGTGGAGAATGCAACATGATGGAAGGTGAGCCTACCTCCGTTTTGGGAGACATTTGGTTTGTTAACGGTATTTCCATCAACGGTGAGTCAGTCAGATGTTAATATACAAACAAAGTTTCTTTTGGTGGCGGTCAGTTACGAAACTTTCGGCGTAAGTCAGGATGGCCATCATTGCGCCACGACGCTACGAAAAGTTAGCTAAATAAAAACTATTAATATTTTAGTAATTTGGTGTCAATTAAGTAATTAAAGATAAAGATATACTTGTATATTATCTGTAAGAAAAGTAAAAATGGATTTTACAAATAAAAGTTATTACAGACATCAATCTGTCTTAATTTTTTAGTTTTATAATCAGGCCTAGACTTGTAATTTATATAACTAGATTGGTATATACATTATAATAGTTATAGTTCTATATATATTATATATGTATTTACGAAATAAATATATTTAAGTAAAAAAAGTTAGTATTTCTTCTTATTCTATTCTTATTTCTAATAGTTGCCCAGTACTCATAACACAAGCTCTGCTTATCGTGGGATTAGATGGCGCTGTGAATTGTTTAGGGATGTATGTAAAAAACATTTCAATTTTTTGTCAACAAACAGTATATTCAATGCAGTAAGAGTTAGTATGTCGTGACAATTGTAATTCAACCTTCACCCTTCTACCTCACGGCAAATATAAATAATGTTACAAAACCAAACACGGCTGAAAATACAGTATTTTGTTTCTTTCAACCCTGAATGCAGATACCAAACGTAATGGTTATTATATTACTTACACTGTAATATTTGTTATTTCTATCAATATCCGGTCGGTCTCGGTGGTCTAGCGGTTTAGCACACCTCTTTACTTCCTATGGTCGCTGGTTCGATTCCTCGCAAGGTACCAACATTTGTATTCATGAGTATGATTGTTTGTATCGGTCTGGGTGTTCTATATATGTATATATTATGTATGCGTACCAGTATATCCAAGATACTGGCAGCGTTGTTAGTGTTGAATACTTAACTTCTGGGCAAACTAGATACCAGCTCTCGGGTCTCAAGTAACCTCGATGAACCGCGCTGAAATTATAAATGCCAATAAATGCTAAAATTAAATAGATATTATGTAAAAAATGTCTAATAAGTGTGATACAGACGAAGTTGCTGTAGCGAAGCTAGTATTAGAATAGTTTGGTAGTTCTATAGTGAAATTTTATCCACACAAAGAAACAAGCTACACGTCTGTTTACTATTTCCGTACCAGGTACGTACGAATGTATAAATAAAATATTAGTCATAGTACTATTATCACATAAAAATAGTTACTCATTAAAACGACAAATATTTATTAATGGACCTAAAAATATATATGAATTGATATACATACATACCGTCACTACTGTTATCACATATCTGGTAGATGCACTTATTTTTTTTCTTTTTAATTTGAATTGAAATGAATGATAATGGAATAGCGCACCCGTCTGCGCTAACGGTTTACGCTGACGGAGCAGTGGAGAATGCTAAGATGAATTCATATTCATCTTAGCATTCTCCACTCCACTAGTCGCAGGCACTGTCAAGACTAAGACATGTTGATTTATTGAGGTCATCCGTACATGGTACATCCGTACCAGGTACTACCAAGTAATAATCCGACCAAGACTATTAATTTATTAAATATACCATACTTTGTTAAACTGAGTTTTTTTTATATGAGTATAAAATTTTGTTTGAGTTTTTATGTGATTTTATATGAGTAAAAGATTAACATTTGGTCCCATGTTGGGCGCCAAAATATTTTTATAATGCTTTGGTAATTGAGTTTGCTAATTAAAAGTATACAATACTTATATAATAATATTAGATATTAATAGTAATATGTTTTTTGACGGCCTCGGTGGTCTAGCAGTTTTGCACGTCGATGTTAGAAGATTGACGTTTTCTTCCGATGGTAGAACATTCGTTTCCTCGCACTGCATACAATTTTGTATTCATGAGTATAATTATTGGTATCGGTCTGGGTGTTGTATATATTTACCAAAAAAATGTATTTATGAATTACATCATTTATTATAAAGTATTAGTAAGTAACTTTAATTCGTCATAATTCGAATTTCTAATTTTGGATTTCTTTTATGTACTCTATGAATTTATATCAGGTATCTAGTAACCATACAAAAGCTCCGCTTAGTTTAGAGCGAGATGGCGCTTTATACATTGTCCTGAGATATAATTATATACATTTTATTTTAATTACCTCATGGTTAAGCACATTTAATTTATCGATTGATTGGGGTAACTATATGTGTACCTGGTTATTTATTGCCCTAATAATAGTTAATTTGAAAATGCTAATTTACTAAACGTACAAAGATGTTATTGCCGATACTATATTTTTTATATACATTTATTATTTTTACTTATTCAAATAACAAAATAAATGCAAAAAAGACTGAACGTAAGTTTTATTCCCAACATACTTTTTGGTGTCAGAAGTAGGATGTTTTTATTGGGTACGGAATCGTACGAAAAGTATCCTATCATTGTCTGAATCGCTACAAGCTGTATAATAGTACCCTAGAATAAGGAAAGTGGCATGACCAAATTGCAATTGATACTGCCTATCAGTAGTGTAGATAGATGTTAAAGTGAAAGTTTCTTTATTTACATGAGTTAAGTTGTGATACGAAAGCCTAATAGAGTGCCAAAATATTTGCATTAGTCCCACGTTGAGGACCATAACATTGTTATGACAATTTCATGTTAACAAAGATTAAATATTGCCATTAAAAAGGTACCGCGCTTTAATGTTATAGGTTTGAAATATTACATATTTCATTTCAAATACCACGCGAATAAGTGATAATCTTCACATTGCCATGTGAGTAAGAGTCTGTTTGTTTTATACGTTATATCGGGATGTGCTAATGGATAGAAGTTAGTATTAGTACCAAGATTATTTTAGTGGTATATAAATTTGTTAAAGCGAATGATTCCATATCTTTATGAGTCAAGTTATGCCGGGAATCGGAACTGGGGCGTCAAAGATTTACTAGTGTTAAATTGGTCCCACGTTGGGCGCCAAAACATTGTAATAACGGTTTCGCGTCACGGAACATTAAATAAATTTGAATTCAGGAAATTGTAAAATTGTACCCTCGGTGTAAAGCGAACAACGTTTCAAGACAAGTCTCTACTAGCTGCTACGTTATGTAACAAAGATAATTATTGGTTGATCTTGAAAATAGTATCTAACAAGTCCGGCAAATTTTTTTATGAAAATTTTTCGTACAATCATTCAAAGGTATTACCTTACACATTATATTATTAAGAATAGTTGATTAGTAGAGATTGTAATAAATGAAATGCACAACTATAAAAATCATCAATAACATATGAATGTAAGGAAAATTTTAATAAAAGAAATCAGGAGTAGGTAGCACATATATTTATTTGTATATTTATGCTACATTTAGTTCTATGAATATACTGTGAGAAATTTAATTAATTGTAATAATAAAATCACAGAGTATGATGTAGGTAATTATATAATATTTATGTTTTATTATAATGTAAACAATATTATAATGTAAACAATATTATAATTTTTTTATTATTCTTTTATTAGCCCTAGTTGGGCTACAGCGTCACTAGACTTTTTTATTGTTCTTATAATTTTACTACCCATTTAAAAAAATTCACAACAGAAATAGTTACGAACAGAATGCAATTCCAACCGTTCCACCACTTTAATTTAAGCTGGCTAGAACATACGTTTCAGGTAATATCGACATAGTTTATTTCCTGGCACGTACATTCATAGCAATAAGGTTTTATTTTCAACAGCAATCGTTTGTAATATCAGATAAACCCGAAGGTGCAATAAAGACTACTCTGTGTGTTCCGGTAAACCTGTTGCATTGCAGTTAGTTACGATTTATTAGCACGCTAAAGGATCGTTCTTGTTATACATTAGTTAGGAAATTAAATTAATTTTACTGCCTCGATTGTTTAGCGGTTTAACACACTTTACGTCCGATGGTCGCGAGTTCGTTCGCACGGTGCAAACATTTGTATTCATGAGTATGATTGTTTGTATCGGTCTGGGTGTTTGTACATATATTATATATCTATGTATGTTATATATGTATTTACAAAAAAATATTTATCATTTGTCTATTACCCATAATACAAGTTCTGCTTACCGCGAGATTAGATGGCGTTGTGTTAATCGTCCCGGGTTATTTATTTTATTTTAATTTCTACTTTATTAGTGAAATTATAGATTATTAGCGAGCAACTTCGGATGAGTAATATTTTCCTCGTTTGTACAACATTTTTTATTGCGTCTCCAAGTAGTCGTAGCGTGATGGTATAGGAGTATAGTCTATGGTACTCACAAATAATGTGACTTTCTATTGGTTAAATAATTTTCAAAATCAATTCATTATATCCAGAAATTAATCGCTACTTTTTCTGCCAACCCCGGTCTTTTTATTATGCGCTTCATAGGTCCAATTATAATTCGTAATTATTGTTTTAATAGATTTGACTAGGCCCGGTTAGGGTGGTGAAATGATATCACGTTGTGGACTGTATGATTATGTATTTTAGAATATATATATTACAAGTGTTAAGAAAGTGAGAAGTGCGTGCGGTGCCCAATGCACGGAATGGCCGAGTGAGGTGTCGCGGCAGATCGGGCTCGCTGCCGGCTCGGATGCCCCGCGGCGCCCGCAGACCCCGCAGCCGTCCACTGTCGTCGCTTGCGCGCCAACAGACTCCCGGGGTTGAAGTGATGTCTTCAATGCTCAGGAAGAGGGCAGATGCAGTTGAAGGCACGACGAATGGTGCCCTTCTTCGTCTTGAGTTCGGCCACCCTTGTGACGCCGTCCACGCCAGGGTAGATCTTTACGACCCGACCCAGGCACCACAGTAGCGGAGGTGCTGTCTTGTCCTTGATCAGGACGAGAGCTCCAAGTTTCACCTCGTCTGATGAATGGAACCATTTTGTTTTTGCCTGAAGTATGGAAATGTATTCATTATGAAATCGTCTCCAGAAATGTTGTCGTATGTGCTGAATTCTACGCCATCTGTCCAGTCTCGAGAGGTTGACGTCAGTGTCAGTCACCTGTGGTTGTGGCACAGATAAGAGTGGCCGTCCAATTAGGAAGTGTGAGGGTGTAAGAGCCGAAAAATCATTAGGATCTGATGAAAGGGGGTGAGAGGGCGACAATTTAGAACTGCTTCTATTTGAATGAGACAAGTTGTCATCTCTTTATAGGTAAAATGAGTTAATTTTAATATACGTCTTAGGTGATGTTTAAAGGACCTTACGGCAGCTTCTGCTAATGAATTAAAATGAGGAGAGTAGGCAGGCGTGAAAATAAATTCGATGCCCTGCTGTGCCGTTTCAGATGCGACATTCGAGGTACGCAAAATCCTTTGCATTTCATTGGATGCGCCAACGAAATTCGTACCGTTGTCGGATGTAATACTTCGAGGCTTACCTCGACGTGCCACAAACCGATTTAAAGCGGCCATATAAGCCTCGGTGGTGAGATCTGTGACGAGCTCCAAATGTACAGCTTTCACTGCAGAGCAAACAAAGATGCACATATACGATTTTGAAAGTTTGCTCCCGCGGTACGATTAGCTATCAATACTGGTCCAGCATAGTCAACATAACAATGTAGAAATGGGAATTCAAGTTGTGTCCTAGCTAACGGCAGCTGACCCATTATAGGCTGGACATTTTTAGCCTTATGTCTGAAACAAGTAACACATTTCTTTACAATTAATTTAGACAAATTTCTGCCTCCTAGAGGCCAGTAAGTATGACGAATGAGACAATAATAATTGAGGACCGGCGTGGAGTAATTTAATATGCTGCATTTGAAATATAAGTCTTGTCAATTTATGTTTGCTGCATATAGCTATAGGATGTTTCATGTTAAAGTCGTAAGGGGAATTGTCAAGTCTTCCGCCCACGCGGATAATGTTATCATTATCTAAAAATGGTGTCAAAGCAAGTAGTCTACTTTTGTGTGGCAATGTCTGACCAGATTTTAGAATTTCAAATTCGTTTGGAAACATATCAATTTGTGACATATGTAAAATATAAATTAATGACTCTTGCAGTTCTCTCGTAGAGAGATTGCCGCACAACTTGTTACTATTATGTTTTAAATTATGAATAAATCTTTGTATGTATGCTACTATTCTTTGTATTTTAGTTAAGCTTGAATGATTTTCTAATAAATGTTGTATCAATAATGAATGAGTGTTATTAGATGATGAATTACTACATGATTGATTGTCACTACTAATAAAATGAGTTACTACTTCCGGCAAATCATGTTTCGTTTTGTTTGGCATTATTGGCCACTCATTTTCATTTTTAAGTAAAAACGAAGGTCCGGACCACCATAAAGGGGTAGTTCCGATAACGTCGGCCTTTACTCCACGCGAAACAAGATCCGCCGGGTTGTCCTTCGACGGTACGTAGCTCCAGGTATGACCGTATGTGCTTTCTTGAATTTCATGCACTCGGTTTCTAACGAAAGGATTAAGTTGGTTAGCAGGAGTTGACAACCAACCTAATACTATAGTCGAGTCACACCAGAATCTACATTTATGGATAGGTATAGTCAATGATTTTTGAACTTTGATACACAGTCTTGCACCTAACAAAGCTCCACAAAGTTCAAGCCTCGGCATTGTCGTTGGTTTAATTGGCGCTACGCGGTTTCTAGAAGCTAGAAGCTGTACACCTATAGAACCACTACCACTACACGTTCTAATGTATAGACACGTTCCATACGCCCTTTCGGACGCATCGGTAAAGACGTGTACTTCGTGAATGATAGAGTCTTCATGCAAAACCCAACGAGGAATCTTTAAACTATTAAGCGAGGACATGCTATTTTGAAATGTAGACCAAAGGTTGCTGATCTCGAGAGATATTTCGTCGTCCCAGTCATATTTCTCTAACCATAAACGTTGCAGAATGATTTTAGCTTCGACTACGCACGGGCCGACGAGTCCCAGTGGGTCAAATATTTGACTTATTACTGCAAGAATATGACGTTTAGTGACCTTATTTACTGAATTAATGTTAATTCTAAAGGTGAGCAAATCCGAATCGCAATCCCAATATAAACCTAGTGTTTTAGATTGAGAAGAGATTAAATGTTGCTCAGAAAATTCTAGGGGTGTATTCATAGTGTCATGACTGTTAGTGAGTTGTGCTAAAATAGTGGGATGATTAGAACGCCACTTACGTAAGTTGAATTTAGCAGAGGAAAGAATAGACTGCACCTGTTTAGCTACTTCGATGGTTTCCGAGATTGTGCTTCCCCCACTTAAGTAATCATCGACATACATATCTCGCTGTATTGCACACTTGACTCGATTATCCTGAATGTCATCCGCCAGACTAGCTAAGCATTTAGTAGCTAAATAAGGAGCGGAAGCGGTACCATATGTAAGTGTGTTTAATGTATAAGTTTTTAGGGGTTCTTTATGGTCAAACCGGAATACAATTTTTTGAAGAGATCTTTGGTCTGGATTCAGTTCTATTGCTCTATACATCTTTTCAATGTCACTCGAAACTACATACCTATGTTGACGAAAACGTATTAAAATGGATAATAGATCGTCTTGAACTACAGGTCCCACCATCTGAATGTCATTAAGTGACGTGCCAGAACTGGTAGGAGCTGATGCATCAAATACTACGCGCAATTTGGTAGTAGCACTAGATTCACGAGTGACGCCATGATGTGGAATGAAGTGAGTGACTACGGTGTCCTCAGTTGAAGTAGTATAGTTTGAATCCAACGTCATGTGACCTAATCGTTCATACTCGCGCATAAACTCCATGTATTTATTTTTAAATGATGGATATCGTTGAAAGCGTCGTTCTAGGGACAAAAAACGAATTTTTGCTGTGTCATAAGAATGACCTAAGGTACTAGGATCGTTTTTTAAAGGCATAGTAACTACAAAACGACCGTCATTTTTGCGATAAGTAGTTGTTACAAAATGCTGCTCACATATTTTTTCTTCAATAGACAAAGAGTGATAAGGTGATATATTATCAAACTCCCAAAATTTAGTAATATCTGGTGAATTTGAAATATTAACATGATTGCAAAACTGTGAGTACGAACATTCCGGTTGTTTAATCCTACCTGAAACTAACCATCCGAATTTAGTTTCACACAATGTCGGTAAGTGTTTGCCTAAATGAATTGAATTATTGCCCAGGACATCCCAAAATACTTCGGCCCCTACCAGAATGTCTACGACCGACGGAATATTAAAATTCGGGTCCGCTAACTGAAGACCTGCAGGGATAGGGACATGCCTGACATGCACAAACGAAGACGGTAAGACCTTTGTAATTTCAGGCAAAATGTGACACTCGATATCAATTTTGTAAGCACAGCATAAAGACTCTATGGTGAGGTTGCAAGACTGTGTACTTATAGATACGTGACTATTTATACCCGTTACCTTGGTGCTCGTACCGCGTTGTGACAAACCCAGTTTCTCCGACAGGCTCTGCGTAACAAAGTTCGCCGTGCTACCGTTGTCCAGCAGTAGACGTGCCGTGCACTTGTTGCCCGTAGCGTTGGTCACGTTCACCAATGCTGTGGAAAGTAGACAATGCGCAGAAGTAGCAAGCTGCATAGTATCGGCTGATAAAGCGACATCATTTGACAGAGAAGGCGATGCAGAAGGCAGAACATCATGAGATGGGATTGTACTATTTATTTCTATATGTAAAAGTGTATTATGTTTAACTTTGCAATATTTGCAATGAGTTAATTTGCAATATTTTGCGTTATGGCCTAAGCGCAAGCAATTTAGGCACACTTTATATTCTTTCGCCTTTTGAATGCGATTTTCTATAGATAAGGCCCTAAAAGATTCACAAGAATATAATGAGTGTGCTTGAGAGCAAAGTGGACATTTAATGCCAGATTGTTTATTATAAGCAATTGATTTCTTATTATGAGTAATGATAGATTTATTATTATTAGTTTGATTATTTAAAGCGACAATTGAAGTACTGCAATTAATGAAATTTGACTCGACTGACTCCAATAAGTCAGCCCTTTTATTTAAAAATGTACAAAATTGTGATAAAATGGGATCGGTAGTTAATGAGTTTTTGTGTTCCTCCCAGTTACGACTAGTTGTGACGTCCAGCTTTTTTGCCATTATAAAGATGATGAGGGTATCCCAATGATTAGTGGGCTGATTTAGAGTTGTTAGTGCCCTTATATTTTTATTAATGACATCAACGAGACCCCTAAGTGACACACTTGATTCCCTCGATATCTGTTCAACATCAAACAACGCTTGAATGTGATTATTTACAAGGACACGGTTGTTGTTATATCGCTCACACAACAAGTCCCATGCAATTTTATAATGCTCTGCTTTGAAGTCTATATTTTGAATGATTGAAGCCGCGCTACCCTTAAGTGAGGCACGTAAGTAGTGGAACTTGTTGATGTCGTCGATACATGCATTGTTGTGAATCAGTGAGATGTATGTGTCCCTAAACTCCAACCAGGATTGATAAAATCCGTCGTAGCAAGGTAGCGAAATTTTCGGCAAACGAACAAAATTCTGTTTTGTATTGAGTGCACCTGAATTAGCATCTTCAGAACCCGCCACAGACCCAGCACTGTCGCGCGAAGTCGCCAGTAGGCTGCGAGCGAGAGCCACCACACGAAAGAACTGGCGTTCGAATTCCTCACGGTCGGTCAGAGCGGACTCGGCCTCGGCGTCGTCAGAAAGCACCTCGATGTCGGTCTGTAATGCATCAAAATCGGAATACATGGCCTCGAACCTATTAAAACGCTCCTCCAAGTCCAAACGTTGCAAATGAGATATATCCGCATTACTACTGATTAAATTTAAATAATTGTTAAAAACTGTAATTTTAGACTTCATAGAACTACGTTTTTTAATTAATGTTTTAATAGAATCTGCCATATTAAAGTCTTATGAAATGCTGAAGCCGAAAGAAGGGGCCGAAGGTCGCGTACGGTCAACGACACGTTCAACTGTAAGGTCAATGCACCGTACCGGTTGTTACTAAGAGCTATGTCCGTAGCGCAAGCGCAGGTAAATGTCACGCACGGTCAATGACACGGTCGAGTGCAAGGTCGATGCACCGGACCGGCTGTTACTAGCCGCTTCTAAGCGCGCAAATTAATAGAATGCAATGTATATAGTAATGTAAGCTATACGTGACTGTGTATAAGAAAATAAGGGCAAAGCTAAATAATAAATAATTTAAAGAGGGATAGAAATGCAGTTTTGAATAGTAAAGAATGAGTTTTTCGGCAACGTTAAGAAATAAGAAAATAGTCTAATTGGAACGGACTCACTCAAAGACAGTGCAATACTCCCACACGTGACGTCGGTTCTTCTATGTAGGCTGTGCGACGACTCCGCTCCACGAAGAGATACTCGAAATCCAACTCGCGACCGTTATTCACGACGTGTCGGTCTTCAAATTTCTGACTTGCATATATACAGCTTGGCTCTGCTTAAGACGGCTTGTATACCGGTGCAGAAGGACCATTGACTAGGCCCGGTTAGGGTGGTGAAATGATATCACGTTGTGGACTGTATGATTATGTATTTTAGATATATATATTACAAGTGTTAAGAGAAGTGCGTGCGGTGCCCAATGCACGGAATAAAGTGAGGTGTCGCGGCAGATCGGGCTCGCTGCCGGCTCGGATGCCCCGCGGCGCCCGCAGACCCCGCAGCCGTCCACTGTCGTCGCTTGCGCGCCAACAGATTTAATTTTGAAAAAATTTTTTGCTACTGTTGTTTACTCTTCTATGCATTGTTATTTTATATTACGTATATTATTTTAATGTAGAGTGTATTAAATGTAATGAATTAAGGGACCGTATTAGGCACATTGATTTTAGAATAAAACAATAATCCATTACTTATAAATCTAGCGTTCTATGTTGCTAAGCAATAGTTATGTTTGACTATATAATAATCATGTACTCGGTACATGAGTATGATGTACATCTTACGTTCAATTCCTCGGAATTGAACCCGTAAGCATCGGCAGTAGGTCAGTGCAGTTTAACACCGTTAGACCACCGAGACCCACAACATTATATTATATTTGTGAAGGTACATCTATTTATTTATAATTACGAATGTATCTCTCTGCTCTACCTTTACTTTTGTCTGTGTCTAGACTGAATTCTAGCAGCGTAAGTGGTAAATGTTGAATGCGACCCAGGCGTAAGTATTGCTTGGTTCCGTACTGAATAAATAAGATATAAACACCGCTGGATGCTGGCATGCTTTATATAAACAAAAGCATTGCATTGAATAAGTAATTTTATTGCTGCAAGACCCAACTTTGTGTGAATGTAGATGCTACATATATATTTATACGAACTTAACATGTCCATTTATATTTTGTCAAAATGGCGCGGTTGAAATTTTCTCAAAATTGGTCATTTTTGAGTCAATGTAAATTCTGCGGGAGATATGGTTGTTGCTTGTTAGAGTCTGTATAGTGTGTTTTTAATATAGATATGTTACTATTAATAAATTAATATTGTTATGTTAATTTTTAGGAATCTGTTAAATTTTTAATAACTAGAATGTCAATATATAATATTGTTCCGTCGCCTATAAAGTTTATATTAAAAAATTAATAACAATTTTGCCGCGAAAATACTGATATGAAAAACAATAATTATTAATTATTGAAATGTATAACAGTAATGTGTTATTGTATACAATTGTTTTGATTTGGCGGATTAAAGAATTTAATCCATTTTGAAATAAAGATTGACGATAGTGAAAATAACATAGTTTTAAAATAAAATAAACAATCTAGTTCTTATGTCCTTTTTTTACAAAAGGCCGTGATTCTGGCTGAAGACACTGTCTTCCCAATATGTTTCTATATACCACAGATAAGATATTTATTTATTCTTTTTGCACACAAAAATGTACATATGGCGGACTTAATGCCTGATGGCATTATCTACCAGTCAACCGTCGCGTTGATCAGAGATAATAATAAGACGGTGCAATTACACGGATTAAAGCGGTGCAAGATAATGTTACATAACTATACTTTATTGTTAAATATTAGTAAATAATATAAAACAATGTAATTAGATAGATCTTTTATTTGTATCTATAGCACACATAAAAAGTATACAGTAAAAGTATAAGAAAGCAGTAACAATATTAAAAACGTAGGTCTGTACGTTACAAATAACACAATGCGTGTAAATTACTGATTCTGTGTTGTGTAGTAGTACATGACAGCTGACACTTAACATTCGTAATAAGAAATTGCCAGGCAGTTCAGTTTGCGCTATATAATAGTTGGGAATAAGAGTTAATAATACGCCCCCAGACCATTGTTCTTTGTGGTTTTTAAGAGAAAGCAAACAATTAGTATTAGTCAACCATAGCCTGATTAGGTACGAGTGTTCATTAGGTATATTATGCGATAAACATATTTTATGCGAATTAGGTGTCATTTTGCGGATATCTATTTTAGTATTTAATGGTATTATATTATTTTGTTTAATGCCGCTACCATTAAGGCAAGTGTGAGACCACAAATATTCTGTGCGAAAACCTGACCATCACTTCTAGAAGCGACTTTCTCTATTAGTGATCAATTTCCGACCGTTATGGAAACTACACATATATTGCAATGTGGTTAGGTTTCCGGACTGAATATTTGTAGTCACTTGCTAATGGATGCGGAATTAAACAAAATAATATACCTAAACGTACTAAGTAATTTGCGGAATTAAACAAAATAATAAAAATCTATCAAGTAATTATGTTTTGTTATTACCTTTTGTATAGTGTGTTCAATTTATTTAAATATTGGCAATAGAAGGTATAACAGACTCATAAACAGTGATGCCGTGGAGGAACGTGTCTACGCGTAAGCTTTCGTTGTGCTGGTGAAGTTCCACTGGAGTATTTGTGATTGGGGAGAGTCCCAGCGCTGGGATACCGACTTCACGGATGTAGCGGCTGTCGGTACCGCCGGGGAACGTGCGGATCTTGATAGGGAGTTTCCTGAAAAGTATTTCAAAGAGTCAGATATTTATTGATAGACTAGCTGACCCCGCGAACCGTTCCGCCTCAGAATTAAAGGAGCTTTGAAGTTTAGTTACGCAATACATTTCTGAACAGGGTGCTTGTTTAACAGTTTGTATGGGAAAATAAAATTGTTGTTTTTATTATTCTGCATGCATTTTCTTCATATTTTATAATCGTTTAAATCTTCCCTGGACATCCGCGAATATTTCAAGATTAAAATTAGCCGAATCGGTTCAGCCGTTCTCAAGTTTTAGCGGGACTAACGAACAGCAGTTCATTTATATATATATATATATATAGATATTTTCCCGTGCGATTGATTCCCCGTCCATTTCAAACGGGGATGAAAATTACAACGGCCTGATCTGAGCTTAGATAACCTAGCGGTGCCCTCAGACTACAGTCGTATCCGTAAAGCAGGAGTTAGCCTTTAGTCGCTTCGTAAATCCTTGCGCGGGTTTCCAGTGCCACCTGCACAAGTATTTACGAAGCCACCTCATGTCGTTCGGTGAAGCTTATTGAAAATACACTCTCATTCTAACTGGAATTAAAAAATTTTCAGATCAGGGATCGCCCTGATCTGAAAATCAAAGTCCTAGAGTTAATCTCAGACTAAAGTCCTTCCGTGGGTTTTGCATTAAATCTGCAAATATTACTTACCTACTTTTGTCTAGTGATGAAGAGTGTAGTACAATTGCCATAGGAGTAGAATTGAAAAAAAAAACTATGGAATAAAGAAAGTAGGTATATTTTATAGATGTCTATTTTTAATAAAAATAGAGTTCTTTAAAATATTCCTTACTTTCTTTAATAAAAAATTTATTCAAAATCAAGATAATATAATACATGTAAAAGGATTTATCTCCATAGGAATGTTATAAATTAAATAAACACGACGTGGGAGTATTTCACAGTCTTTACGTTCGTGACGAATATACGAAATCGAATAATTCTTGTATATGTATATATGTACTAGCTTTTGCCCGCGGCTTCGCTCGCGTTAATTTACCTCCTTAGGGGTGGAATTTATCAAAATCCTTTCTTAGGGGATGCCTACGTCATAGTAGCTTTATTAGCATGCAAAGTCTCAGCCCGATCGGTTTAAAATTGACAAAGTTTCATACAAACTTTCATTCCCTATTTTATCCCCTTGGGGGTAGAATTAATCGAAATCCTTTTTAGCGGATGCGTACGTCATCTACCTGCATGCCAAATTTCAGCCCGATCCGTCCAGTGGTTTGGGCTGTGCGTTGATAGATCGCTATGTCAGTTAGTCACCTTTGAGTTATATATATTTAGATATAATTATATTTATACGAATCTTAAGGAGAAGCTGTTAGTTATTCTACATTACTTGACACCTACTAACATTGACATATCTGTTATGGATTTTTTTTTTCATAATCATGGAATGGAATGTGTATAGAAATTTACGATACTTACAATTTGTCAAAAACATTCTTAAATGCAACCCAGTAAGGATTCGAATCGTCTGTCTTAGTTGGTGCCACATATGGATCGTTTTGTTGGGATGTATAATAAACACCTTCGCCAGCTTCCGAGCACCAGCGTTTGATCTAAAATAATAAGATTAATATAATGAGAGTCAGGTCATCACAGCGTGACATGACAACATCTATTCTCAAAATAGGGTGATCTTTACTGCTTTTACGGCTACTAAGCAATTGATTGAAATTTTTAATTGTTCTTCTATATATACATAGAAGACACTGAGTATGGATTTGGTTATTCATGATTATATGAAAAAGTTCAATAATTTACAATTAAATATTTCTATCAATTGTTTAATACCCGTAGCACAAGCTCTGCTTAGCTTGAGACTAGATGGCGTTGTGTGGAATGTCCTAAAATATTATATTGTTACGTTATTAGTGTATCCTATTAGGATAAACTTAGTTTTTTTTAATACACAATCTTAATACCATATCTTCGAATTCCTGGTGGTTGACGGAGGTCGCTCTACGTATATCAAAGCTGGCAGATAATTTTTCAGGCACCACGTTGTCTTGAATTCCACCCTGTAGATAATAAGATCAATTAACTTTTGCAATTATTGATATGATGGACTTAATGATGAATTATTTATAAATATATATGTAATTATATATACATATATATCTCCATGGGCGTACCCAGCACCTGGTCCAGGAGGGGGGTAAGTTAGAACACCGGCGCATTTTTTATTACTTTTTGTAGATTCTAGCGCGGATTTTTTTTTTCAAAAATTAACACTTAATATTGTAGATCATACATATTCTAGGAAGGTGGCAACTGCCGGTAGGTATATAATA